GGATTACTTGGGGGCACACCGGGTTCAAGGCCCCTAAACCACCCTAAACCCTAAACCCTAAACCCGAAACCCTAAACCCTAAACCCTAAACCCTAAACATTTGTGCTCTGGAGGTTGTCGAAGCTTTCGGGATGACCGGTTCTCAGGGATTACTTGGGGGCACACAGGGTTCAAGGCCCCTAAACCACCCTAAACCCTAAACCCTAAACCCTAAAAGCCCCTAAGCCCGAAACTTTAGATGTTTGTGGGGATTTGGGGAACCCAAGGGCTGCAGGGTGTCAGGGTGCAATTCGTGCAATTGAAGGGTTTAGGGTTTAGGGTTTAGGGTTTCGGGTTTAGGGGTTTAGGGTTTAGGGTTTAGGGTTTAGGGTTTAAGGTTTAGGGTTTAGGGTTTAGGGTGTAGGGTTTAGGGTTCAGGGTTCAGGGTTTAGGGTTTATAGGGCTTACGGCTTCGAGCCAGGCATGTGCGCACCGAGCTGCCAGGCGCAGAGCGCACGCTCGGCAGCAAGCTCCTGCACGCTGCTTACCCGAGCTCGCCGGGTCTGTGACTATCGGCGCTGCGGCAAAGGGGTTTAGGGCTTAGGGCTTAGGGGTCCAAAGCCCTAAGCCTCCAGCCCTTAAACACATTTGCAGAGGAAGCTCAAGCACGGAGCCCTAAGCCCGAAGCCCTAAGCCCTAAGCCCTACACCCTAAGCTCCAAACCGAACCCTAAACCTGAAACCCCGAAACCCCTAAGCCCTAAAACCCTCAAACCCTGAACCCATAGTATGGGGAACCCCTAAACCCTAAACCCTAAACCCCAAACCCTAAACCCTAAACCCTAAACCCCAAACCCTAAACCCTAAACCCTAAAACCCAAACCCTAAACCCTAAACCCTAACCTACCCCATGCACAAAGCCCCGGAGCCCCCCCGCGGTCCGTCGGCTTCTCTCCTAGGCCACCCGTGGTGGGCGAGGAAGCTACGGCCGAGACCTGCCAGAGGCAGGGTTTAGGGTTTAGGGTTTAGGGTTTAGGGTTTAGGGTTTAGGGTAATAGGGCTTAGGGTTTAGGGTTTAGGGTTTAGGGACACCGAAACCCTGATACCCTTGATACCATCAACCTAAAGCCACACACCGCAAAAACCCTCAACCACCTCCCTAAACTCTAAACCCTGCAGGCCCCAAAGCACGCACAAGGACGGAGCTTCATATGAGCAGGTATCCGAAGCTTGTCAACTACTCGATGAAGACAACCCCAGCAGTGTGGTAGATCTTGTTCTCAGCGAAAAAGCTGCGAGGAAGGTGGGACTTCCAGTGACTGGCCCATCAACCACGCGTGAGCCATGCATTCCCATGGCAGCTTAAGGGAGTCCTGCAGCACCGCCACCTTCTCGTTGAAATTGGATTGCAACAGATACGAGTTGGCGTTTCCTGCCCACATACACAAAAACGTGTTTTGGCACGTCTCTAATGCAAATGCGTCGAGGCCCAAAACCCTATAAACCCCATACCCTAAAACCTGCGAACCCTACGAACCCAAATCTAAAAAGAACTCAATCTACGAACCCTAAACCCTGCATAAAACCTAAGCCCTAAACCCTAAGCCCTAAGCTCAAAACCCTGAACCCTAAACCCTAAACCCTAACCCCTAAACTCTCAATCCTGAACCCCATTGTCCATCCTGAGCTCACGGCCGAGAAAGTGCTTTCCGGGTCCGAGAAAGTGCTTTCCGGGTTTAGGGTGTTTAAGGTTTAGGGTTTTTAGGGTTTTACAAGGGTTTAGGGTTTGGGGTTTAGGGTTTTAGGGAGGGCTTTTTCGGGCTTAGGTCTTTTACTGTTGAGGGTTTGGAGGGTCTTTAGGGTTTGCTTACGACCTGCCCTTACCCTACTAAGCCCCATGATTCCTTACCCTGAACCCTAAACCCTAAACCCTAGACCCTAAACCCCCAAACCCTAAACCCTAAATCCCTGAACGCCTAAACACCTAAACCCCTAAACCCCGAAACCCCTAAACCTCTAAACCCCTCAACCCCTCAACCCTAAGCCCTAAACGGAGGGTGTCAGGGTTCCTAGCGCCCTGCTTCGCCTGCCGCCTTGCTGGAGGGAGTCCGCGGACGTGGACGGTGGCTCCTTAAAAGAGTACTTGGTTCATAGGTACTTATAAGCAGAGCTACAAGTAGAGTTATAAGTAGAGTTATAAGTAAAGCTATAATACTATAAGTAGAGCTATAAGTATAGGGCAACTGTTGTTATAGCCTTATGGAATTTAGGGGACGTAAAACCTTGCTAAAAAGTACCCATGAGCCTTCGAGTAGTGGCCATTTCATACAGGCCTACCTGTAGCCTCAAACCCTAAACCCCAATTAAATCCTAAACCCTAAACCCTACAGCCTATAAACCCGACACTAGCAGTATTATTGATTTTGTTTTAAAGTCTTAAGTAAGCCATGAGGCCCATAATTGAAGGGTTTGAGAGGCGGAGTTTTCGCCTTCTCGCAGGCTTCGGCCCTGCGCTGCGGCGGTCCGTGCCAGAGAAACAGGAAATTCAGGGTTTAGGCGCTTAGGGTTGAAGCCTTGTGCCTAGAGCTGAAGGCCCTGCATAAGATGCAGGAAGCTGGAAGCCCCCACCCCTACAAATTATAAGCCCTAAGCCCGAAGGCCTAAGGCCTCAGGTCTAAGGCCTAAGGCCTAAACCCTAATTATAAAGGCCTTTATCCACGTTTGCGGCAGTCGCTCTTGCTGCCGAAGCGCCGTCACGAAGCGCGGAGTCCTGGCGGGGACCGTGCCCTGAAGTTGGGAGCTTCCGAGAATTCGGGGTCCCTGTCTTGGGGTTTCCGATAATACTCCTACAAGAATTATAGCATCTTGGAAAGACTGTCCCCAATGTTGGGACTGCCCATGTGGGAGTTAGGGTTCTGGTGTAAGGAATTTGGGATTCAGAAGGGGAGGGGATCTTACAGGAGTTCAGGTATCACAGGGTATGTTGGGGCAGTAGCCTGTTCGGGTATTCGGGTTTAGGGGCATTAGAGTCAGACCCGAAACCCGAAACCCTAAACCCTAAACCCTAACCCCTAACCCCTAAACCCTAAACCCTAAACCCTAACCCTAAACCCTAAACCCTAAACCCTAAACCCTAAACCCTAAACCCTTGGCGCTTATCCTCTCGCTCGTGCTTCCCAGCCTCAGCGTGGATGTCCACGGGGTGGTGGCGAGCCAGCCCAAATCTGCAAAGGGGTTTAGGGTTTAGGGTTTAGGGTTTAGGGTTAGCTGTTTAGGGTTTAGGGTTAGCTGTTTAGGGTTTAGGGTTTAGGGTTTAGGGTTTAGGGTTTAGGGTTTAGGGTTTAGGGTTTAGGGTTTAGGGTTTAGGGCTAGCTGTTTCTGGGGGTTCAGTGTGGGCGAAGGGAGGACAACGCGACGGCACTGTAAGCTTTGGCCATTTTCTGGTTCTAGTTTAGTCTATATATCTACGTCGAATCTACGTACACTCGCACTCTTACTCGAGCCGACATGACATAGAACAACATTGATCCTCCCAGTTCAAGGACTTGACAAGAAACAATCCGTTCAGCAAATCCGATCCAAAGCCCCTTAAGCCTTGAAACCCACGTTGAACTCGGGCTTAGGGTTTACCAGGGTGTACTGCCTCCTACACTCTAAACCCTAAACCCTAGAGGACCCCCCTAGTGCATAAACTCTGAAGTCGCATAACAACCCAATTGTTCAGCCCAGGTCCTGTCTCGTACGCAGCAGGTGAGCTCCTGCAACCGAGGCACAAAAAACACAGAAACAGATTCAGACATAGACACAGACACACACACAACACACAACACACAACACACAACACACAACACACAACACAAAACACAAAACACAAAACACAAAACACAGAAGACAAAAGACAAAACACCAAACAAAACACACAAAACACAAAACACAACACACAACACACAAAACACAAAACACAAACACAACACGCAAAAACAAGCACAAACACAAGCACAAGCACACAAACACGAACACGAACGCGAACGAGAACACGAACGCGAACGAGAACACAAACAAACACACACACACACACAAAAACACACACACACACACACAAGCACACACAGAGACACAGAGAGAGAGAGAGAGACACACACACACACACACAGAGACACACACACAGAGACACACAGACAGAGACACAGAGACAGAGACACACAGAGGCAGGCACGGAGAGAGAGAGAGAGAGAGACACCAAGCATAGGCAAAAACAAAGTGTGAGAGAGACAGAGAGACAGCGAAACAAAAAACACATACATACATACATACATATATATATATGGTACCCCCCCCCCCCAAAGATCTAGGTATTTTCATGGTTTTGGGATCTGTTTTAGGGTTTAAGGGTTGGGGGTGGGGGGATAGCTAAACATGTAAAACTCAATATGGACATGTGAATCTTGATATGTGCGAGTCTTCATATGTGCGTGGTCGTCTTTTCAAATTGTGAGCCCGATTGAAAACGATTGAAACGATTGAAATTCAATCGGAGACCGGATTGAAGATTGAAGATTGAAGATTCCCGGAAACCTTTTTTCTGGGAATCTTCAATCTTCAATCTTCAATCCTGCCCCCGATTGAATTTCAATCGTTTCAATCGTTTTTCAATCGGGCCCCCGATTGAAAAACGATTGAAACGATTGAAATTCAATCGGAGACCGGATTGAAGATTGAAGATTGAAGATTCCCGGAAACCTTTTTTCTGGGAATCTTCAATCTTCAATCTTCAATCCTGCCCCCGATTGAATTTCAATCGTTTCAATCGTTTTTCAATCGGGCCCCCGATTGAATTTCAATCGTTTCAATCGTTTTTCAATCGGGCCCCCGATTGACTTTCAATCGTTTCAATCGTTTTTCAATCGGGTTCACGTCTTGTAAAGTCTCAGAATCAGCTTTCGTGACGTCGCTCAAGATCACGTGTCTTCGCAGACATTCCACTCAAAATATACTTGGCCATTTGTGTTTGTAATACTCGCAATGGCTCGCATCCCAGTGGCTGGCTCGGTCTTGTTCAAGGATGGCTCCGCCTACCTGAGGATCTCTCCGAAATCAGGGAACATGGCCACGTCCAACTTCCCAGACTCTGGCGCGGGCTCATCCTCTTCTACTCCAAATCCTCCATGGCCGATATCCACACAGCGCTCAGACCAGCAAATCCTCGAGGCCATCAACAGCGGCGCAGCAATAGTTCACCATACTCGGCTTCCGATGAACCCCACGGACTTGCGCGTCATGCTGAATAATATTCAGACGGCGCTTGGCCTTACCGTCGGAGTGCAGGGTGATTGGTCGCCGAGGGCCGACCAAAGGCTCCTAGACGTATTGCTGAAGCCGAAACGTAGCCAAAAACGCAAGGCCGCAGCGATCAATGCCATTGAAGACGCCCCTGCGAGCCCCAAGGCCATCCAGGACAAACCCACCGGCAACATGAACAGTGAGCATCCGGAAAATACCCCATCGGTCAATGCCATTGAAGACGCCCCTACGGATTCCGCGGCCGTCCAGAGTGAACCCACCGGCACTACTCACATTGTGCGCTCGGAGGCTGCCGTAGATGATCTCGCTACTGCCGACAACACGCCTTCCGCCGAAGACAACGCCACGAGCCACAGCAATGATGGCAACGACTCAGACTCTTCATCCAGCAGTTCCTCCAGGTCAAGCATTTCCCTTGCTCCTCCTGACGTCAACACAATGAAGTGGACCAGCGACTTCGCCGATGCCTACACATCTGCGATGGACTTGTTCATTATCTCCGGGGATAATAAGAAGAAGAAGAATGCAAGTGCGAAAGTCTTACACGCCATCGTGAAAGCCAAGGGCGTGTTTGACAGCAACTAAAGGGACTATATCCTACTCGGCCGGTGTCGCATCTTCCATATACTGACTGCGCTGTCACCGTCGGAGCGCTGTGAAAAACGTGCGAAGCGAATGCCCTGCACTGATTGTGCTCGCTCTGGCTAGGTGTCTTCAAGTTAACACGAAACAAATAGTCAGTCGCTGGCAGTTAAATAGTTTTCTTATGCGTGCATTCTTATGGGTGGTGTAGCATATATGCCTCTATATGTAGACATATAGATGAGTTTAATATTATTTAATATTATATAAATACATAATATACACCACGTGTTACATACCCTAAATATATGCTATCACATGTATGCATATATATGTACATGCATAATTTACATATATGCACATGTGTATGTCTTTCTATCTTATATGCTGACATCTCACCGTTAACCATATCAACGCACAGCCTTCATCCTCATCCTTTGCACTCGCATTAGCGCTCAAGCATACTTGCCGTCCTCTCTCCCTGTTGCCCACGAGCCATAGTCGTCTAGGTTCTCATTGTCATGTCCGCCCAACTCTTGGACGATGCCATCAGCGAAGTCAACTCGCAAAACTTCACTCTTCGGCCTCTTTGCAGTGCGAACTGCTCTCGCATCGACCCAGAGCAGCCTTTATCCATCAAGGACTTTCTTGACGGAGCGTGTCGCCCGTTGAATGGCATCAAGAGTGTAGCGGTTGTCTTCGACGTTCACCTCGGCATGCTTGAGTGTGGCAGCTCTCTCAGTCTTGGAGATCTAGTGGCTCAGAAGAAGTTCTCAGATCTGCCAGAAGAATTGCGATTCATGGGCCCGTTGCCAGCTGAGACCAATGTGGATATTGTTGTCTGCAACCTTGGGGATGGCCTGGTTGACGTCATGAAGGTTCTGTACTTCAAGCAATCAGTCTCCAGGCAAGTGGCTGAGGGCTTGTGCAAAGGTCGGAGCTTTGCGCCTCAGTTTCGGCAAGGACCCTGGGCTGTAAAGAAAGGCATTCAGTGGCTCATGAACCAGATCCCTGGCTTTCACGTCCGTTGGCACTCACTTGATCCACCCAGGCCGTCCTTGAAAAGGTCGCAGACACAAAGCTCTTGGAACCCAGAAAATGACGAGCTGTCTGCCGGCATTGCCTTCATCAACAAGCAAGCTCCAGTTTGTGACGCAGCCAATGAACAAACATTCTGGATCCTCTGCAACATCAAGGAAGACTCGGGGACCCCAATCGCTGGGTGGCCCGAAACCAAGGTCCGCTTCATGGCGCAGAACAAAAGTCGGGGATTGGGCGGCGCTCTTCCGAAGACGGAGTTCCCTCTCACAACATATAGCCTCCACGCCGCCATGTCCACCAACATTCTTCCTTACCTCTACCCACTTCTCATGACGACAGCCGTCATGTTCCTGGGCTGTGCTGGTGTCGGCAAGACACCAGCTTTGATCGCGATGGCCATGGCAATGGGTCGCTTCCACATAAGGCGTCTTGGCCTGCAGGGCCTGCAGGGGCTTCAACCTGGTTGGAGACGTGCGAAGTCATTTGACAACTTTCGGCATAGAGCCCCACAAATCCAGGAAGCCCTGTTCTTGGATGATCCGTCTCGAGGCAAGATTGATATGGCTGATTTGAAGAGCTTCGTCACGGTGGACGAGGACGGCACCGTCGATAGTCGTTACAACGACACTCGCCTCACCATGAACCAAATGCGAGCCCTTGCCTCCAACAACACGAGTACAGATCCGGCGTTGCAGACTCCGGACGCCACCCTCCTCCCTCCGAAGGACTTCATGAAGCTTGTGGAACCTCTCTTCCGGGGCGACGCTGAGAAGGACATTATGGCGGTATTGAAGCGTTCAACGACCTTCGTCTTCACAGAAACAGCTCTGTTCCTCCGCTTACCGAGTGAGAAGCCCGACGCCATAGTGCACCGCATTGTGGCCGACGACCTCCACTTGGACCTTCTCGCCCCTCGCGACAAACCATTCTATGGCAAGTACAAGAGCGGAGTGATCGCCCTTGGAGACTCCTTTGCTGACGATGTTCGTCGTGAACAAGAAATGATTGACTCCTCTGTGGCAGAGACCCAACACTTCCCCTCGAGGGACGACTATGTGAACCATGCCAACCATGCCATCCAGAAATGGTTAACGCCAGAGCCCAAAGTCAGAGTGATTCCTTCTTCGCCTGGGTCTTCCAATGAGGCTGACACATCTCGTTCCGCCTTTGGCCTCGCGCCCGTCTTCCCGGTCGTTGGAACTGGTCCCAAGCCAGGTCGCCTGAACAGCTCTTCCTCTTTCGTCTACAACGATGACAAGCGCCGCCGACTCCGATGCAAGACTTCCGTGGCGGAGGCAGGCGAAAACCAGACCAAGAACCCAGACGAAGAAGACACTCTCGTTGCGAACGGGGGGGATTCGGAGTCTGCGAATAACCAGGAGCAGAACATCCTCAGTTCTCCGGGCGAGGCTATGGACTTGGATCAGGGTAGCGATAGCGCCGAGGAGGAGGCGGCCCAGCATCTCCATGGGTGAGCTCTTGGATGCACAGGGCAGGGTCCAAGTGGCCTGTCATTTTGGTTCTCGGCCATGAACTCCGACAGTGCCAGAACTTTGGACTGAGTCCCTCTGCATTTTCGGTACAGGATATGTGCGGGATTGCCCCACAAAGACCTAGCTAGCTCCAGGTCCACCAGAGTCGTCTTCTGCGCGTTGTGCAGATAAAAGCTTGCTATGGGCTCCACTGCTTTGCTTTGCCCGTTGTTTCACGCCGCACACGCAATGCAATCATCCGTTGTTTCAGGCCACACACGCAATGCAATCATATCCACTTTGCTCACTATTGGCTCCGCCCTGAGATATGAGTTTTACTAGTCGAGTCCTTTTGCCATAGCATCTCTCCGCTTCAGCATCATGGGCAAGTACTTGTGCAAGAAGCCGGCCTATCACTTTCCCATCGCAAAGAAAGGAAAAACACGCATGCTCATGAAGGGGAACCTCACCAAGGCAGCATCCTCCAAGCGTGCGAAAGGCAAGGCTTGGAAACAAACGCCGTACAACCGCACAGGCAACAAGGCTCCTCGTGTAGATCGTCTGAAGTGGAAACGTACTTTCCAGTACTTGTCCTCCTTGAATGAGTACGATGCCATCCAGGTCCTGAAGGACGATGGTCTCATGCCAACATGGGAGGGTGCGGTTTGTCCGTTCTGCTCGCAAGGCAAAGTCGGACCTCTGACAAAGAGGTCTGGGGGACTACCTCGTTATCGGTGCAAGCGCTGGGGCTGTCAAAAGTTCATCACGCCTCAGCACCTACACCCACTCTTTACAGCGACCCGCGGACCTGAAGGACATTCCCTTGGCGTGCAGGCAGGGATGCTGCTCTTGCGCCTTGCCAATGTGCCTCTGAGCACTATCCACGTGGTGACCCAGATCAATCACAAGGCTATCGAACGGATGGAGCATAACCTCACACTTGTTCGCAAGAAGTTTGTGGAAGAGACCCAAAGGACCATGAGCTTCGGGGGTAAAGGGAACAAGTGGCAAGATGTCGAAGTTGACGAATCCGTCTTCGACAAAAAGCTCATTCCGATTGAGGAGGCTGATGATCCCACCAAGGTCATGGACTGGGAGCAATGGGTAGGCATGGTTCAGCGCGGCAAGCCCGAGTCGCTCGTCCGTTTGCGATTGACTCCCCCGTCTCTCGTCTGCACTATACGTACAGAATGTACCGGTACAAGGGAAAGTAGTTGCGTGTCTCATACAACACCAAGGCCCACGAAGAAAAGGTCGCCAGGTCCAGGCCCCATCCGCCGAGACGACTGGAAGAAGATATCCGATCGCTGGCTGAAGGGTAAGCACGTGATTCTCCATTCCGACAGCGCTCGAGCTTACAAACTCAAAATCCCAGGCGTTGTTCACGGATCTGTCGTGCACAAGAAGCGCCGTGTCCAAGTGGGCAAGAAATGGGTTTGGCAACAGCCAACCTACGTCAAGATCAAGAAAGTGACCTTGCCCGGCGGCCGCAAAGTCACCGTGAAGATCGGAACCCAGATCGTCGATCGCGGGTGGAGATTCGTCAAGGAGCGCCTCCGCGTGAACCAACGCGCCAAAACTGGTTCCTTGCGGATCATTGCTCAAATCCGTTCTGCCCAGTATGAGTACTGGAACAGGGGCAAGGACATGTGGCTGGAGACGGGCAGCCTCATGCGGCGGTACATGAGCAACATCATCGCCCAGAAGTGAAGATCCCTGTACTATGTTTGCTCGTAGTGCCTGAGAGGCCACAGTGTCTCATCAACTCCAATGGGGTAGCACGGTAAAGCCGTCGGAAAATGAAACTGTCGCTTGAGCTTGCCTAGCGTTTCAACACACGTCCTCTACTCGTCTTCATCTCTCTGAGCCTATGCAAATCTTCAATGACCAACTAATAGCAGCATGTTGGAAGGTCCCAGGAATGAAAGGATATTTGCTCGCAGTATTCTCGCGTCCTTGGAGAATACACTGTTTTGTCCACATCACCTTATGCACTTGAATACTTCCAAGGCGTCTGGTATCTTGCTTATCTTTCCCACAGACATCCCCTACTCATCTGCACCTATCCAGGCCCATGCAAATCTTCAACTTCGCATCGCATCCGGACCCATGCAAATCTTCAACTTGATATAGCTAAATCACGAAAATACCTAGATCTTTGGGGGGGGGGTAGCATATATATATATATATATATATTTATTTATGTATTTATTTATGTATTTACTGATTTTTATATGTAAACAACACACGCAAAGAAAGTGCACCACACTAGGGAACCTAGAACGCGGGCCAGGTCGAGCAGAAACAATGATGCCGAACTAAACTTTGAACCCGAAACCGAAGAAGTCCAGTCGCCCAGGTTCTGGAGGCCTGCAAATGAATTTCTCTGACCGCACGCAAAACCGACAGAAGTAGCCTGGTGGTTGTTGTTTTGGTGTCCCGTAAGGCGAATTTAGCTTAGCAGGGCTTGTTCGGCTTTAGGGTTTAAAGCCTCTTGGCAGATACATATAATATATATATATATGTTTTGTTTTTTTTACTTTGTTTTCTTGATTTTTTTGTTTTTTTTTTTGGGGGGGGGGGGGGGCATGGCGCGGACCTGAGAGTCCATCACTCGATCTGTGTGGGCAACAAACAGACACACCAGGAGCCAACAAGCCCTAAACCCTAAATTCCAAACCCTAAACCTTAGACCCTAAACCCTAAGCCCTAAACTCCCCACGTGCGCTGCTACTTCTTCATGTGCATGCACATAAACAAGTAGCAGCACTCAGTGGGGGGGGACGGCGCTGAAGCCCCTCGACCTCGATGGCGCATGCCGACCCAGCCCTGGGGGGTCCGGAGCCCTCGAAGCAGCGTCCCTAGGGACGCTTTCCTTCAACCGGCCACCATAGGTAACGGAAGAGGCTTCTTGGAAAGGCAGTTGACTTGAGCTTAGGCCTCAACCCTAGATGGGTGGGAGAAAGGTGCTAGATGGCCCTCCACAATCAGGCAAGGCCTGCTCCGCACCTTTCGATCTTCTGCATCCTAACCTTCACAATTCACAACATCTGCGCCTAATCCTGCAAGCCCTAGACCCTAAACCCTGAACCCTAAACCCCAAACCCTAAACCCGAAACCCTAAACAAAGAATGCTCAAGAACAATCGAAGACCCAGTCCTCCAGCCCCATCTCATCACATGGCAGCAGCACGTCGAAGCGACCCGACTGCCCATCCCCACTCCAAGCGATATGGATGGTCCGAGCCATTGCTGAGCTTAGGCTGTCGGGCTTGGGGCTTAGGGCGTAGGGCTCAGGGTTTCGGTTTAAGGGGTTTGGGGGGCTTAGGGGGCTTAGAGTAGCGGTTAGGGGTTTTGGGATTTAGGGGTTTAGGGGTTTAGGGTTTAGCGTTTAGTTAGTATTAGGTGTCGGGATTGAAGGGTATTCAAGGTATTTAAGGGGTTGAGAGTTTGGTGTTCAGTGCTGAGGATCTGGGGCTCACAGGGCTAACCGAAAGAAGAGCTGTCACAGCCCTAATACACCCTGTTACCCTCGAACCCTAAAACCCCCAAACCCTGAAACCCTAAAGCCGGAAAAAGAAAACCTTACCACCACACCCGAAAATCCCTGAAGCCTGAAAGCCCCTAAGCCCTAAACCCCAAACTCAAACCCTAAGCCCGAAGCCCCCGCGCTAAGGCTCCCTACTTTGAGCTTGCAGCTGCGGGTCGTCGACGTTGTGGACACGGAGCCCACCGATGACCTCCGACTATGATGTGGGGTCAACCCTCGGGATCCATGTACCTATATTGTAAGGGCTTAGGGGCTTAGGGTTTAGGTTTTGGGGTTTAGGGGGGGGCCCTGAAGCAGCTACTATACAGGAACCCCTTTAAGGCACAAGCATATACTATATAGGCTAGGCTATATAGGTACATGGATCCTGAGTGTAAGGGCATGCACGGAACCTTGCCAGGTTAGAGGTCTAGGGATTTGGGATTTCAGGGTTAAGGGTTTCGGGGTTAAGCCCTTAGAGAGTCAAGGCCTCCAAGAACCACTGAGGCAGCGAGGTGGCGGCCCGACGCAAGGCTTTGAGCTCCTTCGGGTCATCCTGAGAGAGGGTTTAGGGTTTAGGGTTTAGGGTTTTAGGGTTTTAGGGTTTTAGGGTTTTAGGGTTTTAGGGTTTTAGGGTTTTAGGGTTTTTAGGGTTTTTAGGGCTTGGCTTCAGGGCTTTCTGCTTAGGGTCTGTTTGACGACGGCTGTCTCAGGGTGTTTCCAGGGTTCTTCAGACTAGAGTTTTTGTTCGTTGTTGTAAAAGTTGTTAGGCTTCTTTTGCAAGGGTTTAAAGGATTTGTTGTAGGGTTTTAGGGCTTTCAGGGCTTTAGGGTGTCGAGGGCGTTGAGGGTTTATAGGGTTTATGGGGTTTGTGGCTTTGGTTTTGTTAATTTAGGGGTAGGGCGATTGGAGGAAACAAGGGGGCATTTAAGGAAATTAGGGGAATAATTTAATTAGGGTTTCAGGATCGAATATAGATTATGTTCTCCGTCTGGGTCTCCGCTATCGTAGATTCCTTTTGGCAGTTGGTACACAACAAGACCCCACTATTTGACCTTCAATTGGATTTAGGTTTGTGTTGCGGCAGGGTCTTAGAGTGTAGCACCCACTCCGTAAAACAACTAGACCGGGTTAAGAAGGATGCGCAGAGGGTACATAGAGTGGATTGCCCGGAATATTGGGGTCATCTGAATGACAGGCCCATGTGGGGTTAGCGCTTAGGTAGGCTTATGAGTCCTTCTGGAAACGAGAAGTAGCAGGCGATCGAAGAGACCCTCAAACAAGCCAGAGCTAAAGAGCTAAATCTGCCACCACTAAACCCTAAACCCTGAACACTCTAATGCCAACACAAATCCTAGACAGCCGAGAGACCCCATAGACCCAGAAGCCCAGAAACTCAGAAACCATAAATCCAAACCATCTCCGACGACAACTCGCCGACCGGTCAGCTCGCATCTGAACCGAGCCGGTTGTTTAGGGTTTACGGTTTGCTGTTTAGGGTCTAGGGATTGGTATTTAGGGTTTTGGGCTAGACTTTCAAGGCCCTAAAGGTAAAACCCCAACGCCCCTAAAGCCCCACAACCACCCTAAACCGTAAACCCTAAACCCTAAATTCAAAACCCTAAACCCTAAACCCTAAACTCATCACAAGACCCAGCGTGAGCCTTCACTCGCTTCACGAGGGAAGGCCTCTGCAGCCGCGCTCGGCTTGAAGTTTAGGGTTTAGGGCGGGAGGCAACCCTAAACCATAAACCCTAAACCCTAAACCCTGTAAACCCTACACTGTTGGGGCTTTGGGCTCCAATCGGGGTAGTGTGTTGGGATTTGAGGGTTCAGAGCTACGGGTTGATTTGACCTTCGGCCGGCCCTCGTCCCTGCAAAGATGGCGCCTTGCTGCAAAGAACCCAAGATGGACACCCAAGCCCGCTGAGGGCGGGTTTAGGGTATAGGGTTTCGGGTTTAGGGTTTCGGGCTTGGGGTTCTATAACAAATAACATTGCTGTGGGTTCGTGAGGCCTTGGAAGAAGAAGAAGAAGACAAAATACAATACAGCTCAGACAGTGGGCTACCTAGCTTACACCACTCCAACGGACGCCAAAAACGCCTCATCAGCCCCTCAACAGCCTCAAAACCTTCAACCCTGAACCCGAAACCCTTAAACCCTAATTTGTGGGTTTAGGGTTTAGGGTGTAGGGTTTCCCTAAACCCTAAACCCTGAACCAAATACGCCTCGTCGTGTTATATTTAGAGGGGTTTAATAGGGCTCAGGGTTTAGGGTTTAGGGTTTAGGGTTTATGGTTTAGGGCTTAGGGCTTAGGGTTCAGGGGTTTAGGGCTTATTGCCCCTAAGCCCCCAAATAGCTATGGTGCATGCGGGTTCTCCGGATTTCGGGAAGCTCTGCTGTTGTCGGATCGTGGGGATTTGGCCTCATGCTGTGAGACGGGTGCAGGGTTTAGGGTTTAAACGGTGTTAAGGGTTTAAAGGGTTTAAAGGGGTGTAGGGTTTTGGGTTTAGGGTTTCTTCCGCCCAGCTGCTTTGGCGGATGCACGACAAGGACAAGCTCATCTTCCGCGTTGACGGAGAAGCCTCATGAAGTTTCCCTCTCCCAGCAATGCTTGCCACCCCCAACCGAACTCCGGGGACCCTGAACCAGAACATCTAGACACATACATCCCAACACACCGAACCCCCAAAATGACTCGAGACCCCAAAATGCCCTAAAAGCGACACCCCTTTCGCCACCCGGGGAAAAATGTCGGGCTGAGCGCTCAGGTTTAGTGCTTCAGGGGTTCCTTTTGCCAGAAAAGAGGCCCAAAGCCTGCTTCTTTTAGGGTTTGGGGTTTGTAGGTTTCTTGCGGAAAAAACACCCCACCCTTGTTCGGATTCTCAGGCAGCTTACACCAAGGATAGGTTTTTGGGTAGGTACAGATCCTAACCCGATAACTCCCCCCTCCCCCCCAAACAGGGGTTGAGGGCTTTTTGCGGTGCAAAGTGGCCCCCCACGGTGCAGTTTCACATCAGGGTTTAGGGCTTAGGGTTTAGGGGTTTGGGTTCAGGGTTTAGGGTTTCTGGTTTGGGGTTTATGGCTTGCGGCTTGAAATGTCGGTTCCCAAAGCAATCGGAGTATGTTGTGCCCTTTGGCTTGGTGTGTGCTTAAGAGGGAACCTGGGTTATGCCTTGGA